TAGGCAAAGTCCGCTCGTGTCTGAGGGTACTGTACAAGCCACTGAAGTATAGTTTCCAATACTTAGCGTAGTCGGTGATTGTACGGATTGTTGGCTGTATCCATAGATTAAGGCGCGTACTAATTACTAATCATATATTTTTCATTGTATTTTCTGATCTAGGGCGCACGTATTATAATTTCTTTCTGTATTCCACATTCTAGCCCGCACTTATTGTTATACCAGCATTATTATTTTACATTCAGTTAGTAGATATTTACTTACTTGAATAAATCTTTAGTCTAGCACATTAATGTTTGGATTTTACTCCTCAACCGCACACTACACGAACCTATAATCCCTAATTCATTCATACGTGTCGCCTTCTTGGGGAACCGCTCTTCCTATATGTCGGTACAGTGACGTACATATCTCTGGGTCGTTACACATGTAGTAATTTTTTTATTAAACTTTGAAGTTTTATCTATAAAATGCCGGTTCATGCATGTCGATATCTATAATACTTTCCGAGTTATGATTTTTTGAAAAAAAAGTGACCCTAAATTTTCAGTCCTTATAATTCGAAAAGTTTAAACAATATCGAGGAACGGAGCATCGATTTTTTGTTCGTACATTGGATTCTACAAGCCTACAAAATTTAACAAAAATCCAAGACCATGTGGGAAAAAGTGTGATCTCTTTGCGTGGAATGGCCCATATCTGGTTGTTTGTTGCGCCGAACGTTGACGCAAAAATTTCAGAAACCTAGCCTTGAAATGTAATATGTTGGGAGCAACAAACAATCACGAAAGTTTCGCGTCGTGACCGTTTTCTGCACCGAACGAATAACGAATTTCGATCTTACCTAGTCAACTGAAAATTCAGATGACTGTTTCTTGCGCGGAGCTCTTCATTTGTCGAAGCTCCTCTGCAATTTTGGTTTTGGTCTAATTTAAAGCGATTTAATAAATCTCTTTTAGTATATTATTCAGTATATTATTATTATTATTATTATTATTTAGTATATTATAATTATTTCTATTATTGAGTATGTGAGCGCGATTTGCGTATAAATTAGGATCACAGTGAGTACAAGAAGTATTTTATTATCAAACGGAAAAGTGCGTGCATATGCTCAAAGGGAACACGCGTAGACCGTTAGACAGAAATCGGCAGGCGCGGCGCACGCAGATACAAAGAGAACGCTCGCAACGCATGCGCATAGTCTAAATTCTGCTATTACTCATAAACATGTTTACATAATATTAAATACCAATAGAAATGGTTTGAACGATTATGTGATGCGTGCTTTTAATATTAACAAAAGCACAAAAATAAACAGATCACTGGATGATAATAAATTTAATCTTTCCGATGATAATGTATTTAATCTATCCGATCAATCGAATATAGGTATTGAGAATATAACATTTTCGCTCGTTTTCTCCAACGATGTTTGGAAGACTGTGAAGCCTACAAAGACAATGTATGGTAATCGTAAATATATAACATTCCAACTGGGAAAATGGACCGACATATTTGCCTCTAAAATATGGGAGCAGAAAAAAATTCCATGCGCATTCGCCTTTAAATATGCAAAAGTTTTTAAAAGTAGTGAGTCTAAATATTATGCATGTTTTATAGGGTTTTGCAAAGAATGCAAAGCAAAACTTTCTGGCCATTTATTAAGAAAACCTGAAGGAAATGTAAATGTAATATTTCAATGCAAATTAAAAAATTTCAAATCTGGATTTTTACACATAAAAAGGCGTCAATTAAGAGGGCATCTCAATTATTGGAAAATAAACAAGATGCCAGCATTTGGAGAAGAAATGAAGCGAAATATTTAATGGACCATGGAGATCCTGTTCCACCAATGTTATATAATGCAGCAGTGCTTCGAAAATCCAAACAACAAGAATTGGATCGTCGTTTGGAATTAAAAAATAGTGATCCAATTCTTAATTTAAACTTGGCAAAATACGAATTCCTTGTAGGCATTATACGCAATATAGGGCTTGACTCATTCTTTTGCATGTACTGGACGGAGGAACAAAAAATATTATACAAAACTATTATGTGTCGAAATTTGAATAGTTATTTAACAGTCGATGCAACAGGTAGTTTTGCAAAAAAATTGAAGCTTCTAAATAATGAAAAAAGTCCTCATATGTATTTATACCAATGCGTATTAGTAACAGAAACAACCACTTATCCAGTTCCACTCAATCACTTCCAAATGATATCGACAAAACAAGATGCTTCAACAATTACCTATTTTTTCTTATCAATATTAGCCGATGGTGCACCTTCACCGCGAATGGTAGTCATAGATTTCAGTAAGGCTCTTCTCATGGCAGTTACAAAAGCATTTGCTAATTGGGCAGATACACAAACTTATTTGCAAATATTGTTTGACATTACCGTTTTAGAAAGAAAAGAAAAATTGCCTAATTGCTACGTAAGATTAGATCTTAATCATTTTATTGGTAAAGCGCCTAAAGTTCGACAATTTTATATTCGAAGCATTGCTCATATTTATAAAATGAGCGATTTAGAAAATATAAAATCTGTATTGACATCAGCAATGGTCATCACTTTGAGCGAAGATGTAGGCTGTCAAAACAATTCCGAGCTCCTTCCTTCAGAAAATCACTTGAGATCAGTGAATGATGTCTTTAAAGGGACATCGTTCGAAGATCCTCTCGACGAAAACGAGAGCGCAGAAGAAGCATCTTTTGATAAATTTGAAACTAAATGGACGGAATGGGCAATTCTATTTTGAAGTCGGCAGAGACTATTGCATCGAAATCTACAACTGGATCCGTTTTAAATGCATTTTATGCGTTGTAATAAGATTAAAAAGTTTAATTTCTTATCTATCCTTGTGGACAGGTATTATGTGTGCTAATTTTCACTGTAACAAAATAACAGTTACATCCTCAGCTGTTGAAGCAGCATTCGCTGATTTAAAAAACCGGACATTTAAAGGTGAATTACCAATGCGAATTGATAAATTCGTTATTAAACATATCAATTCTCTGCAAGGGAAGACTTTATTAGCGTTTGCTAATGAACGTGTAGAATGCAAGGATACTACAGCAGAGAATGAAAACACGTGGAATGTTGTTGAAAAATAGCGTGGATTAACCGTAGGAAATCCAGAATCTAATGTTGAATTAGATACAATTAAAGAAGATGAAATGCAATTATTAAATAAAAAACGAAAAATGACTTATCTCGATTACTGTCCAAATTGGGATGACATGAAAATAATGAAACGTATTACCCCAGATAGCAATTTGCATGCAGATTGGCAGCAGATTGGCAGCAGACTCTGGTAGAATCTGTCTACAAATCCATAGCCATCTGTTTCCGCATTTGGCTGCGTTTCTGCAAACAGAACCTGCCTACAGAATCATATAGCAGATTGGCGTCAGAAACCGAGCAGATCCTGGTAACATAACCTGTTGCCAAATTGGCGACAGAAACAAAACAGAGCCTGCGCACAGACTGTAATGTCAGATTTGCGGCAGATTGGCAGCAGAGCCTGCAACTTCAGCCATTTAAATTTTAAATGGACGCGCATATACTGGCATTTAAATGAGCTCTTTAAATTCTTATTATTACTTATTTTTTAAGGGAAAAAATGAAATCTTACAATATTTTTATTTCATTATTAATATACATATGTGCTAGTTATTATGAATGTGGTATAAGTCAAAATTTATCAGTTATATTGAACGGCATAATACATAAGAACTGACAAGTTCAATGTTTTTTACATTTCTATTTACACCACTTTCATAATAACCGACATATATATATATATGTATTTATTAATTTAAAATACATATTTATAATTTCGGTGTTCATTTTTATATTAACAATTTCTGTGAAGTACACTGTCACTCAAAAATTTTAAATCAGGATTGTAAGTACTGCAAACAAAGAGAAGAAATGTGAAATTATATTACTTGTAATCGAATTCCAAAATTGTGACTGCTAGTATTTTATTTATTTCTTCTTTGTTGTGGTGATACCTCTTCTCCACTGCATTTGGGCTGAAGCGAGCGTGCTCGTGTATGCACCGCGTATCCAGTTGCTTTTCCTTGAAACGTCTCCGTTACCGTACACGAAAAAAGAAAGTACAATTCATTAGTATTAATCCAATGAAGAAGTTAGTATGAACAATGAAATTTTTTAAAACGACAAAAGTATACATATGTTAGTAAATTCATTTGTAGAACTTCTCAAAAAATCTCGTCGTTTGGTCCAATTTGAAATGAGGTGTTTCCAAACTTTTTTACGAGGGTCGGTTAGGTTGAGGTTAGGTTAGGGTTAGATTAGGATGAAATATTTTGACGAGGGTTGGTTTCTAAGGTTTTTTTTTGGCGAGGAGGGGGAAAATGCTTTATGCACACCGGGCAGGGACCGCAAGCCCGGTAGTGTGGGACTCCGTATACCCACTAAAAACCCTACTCCTCGTACTTACCTATATACAGGGTGTCCCAGAACTGGGGTAGGAATGGAAGAGGGATGATTGGTGAGGTCATTCTAAACAACTTTTTCCTTTGCCAAAATGTTGGTTAAGGCTTCGTTTTCGAGTTATTAACGAAAAACACTGGCCAATCAGAGCGCGCCGTTAGCGCGGGCCGAACTACGAGAGTGTTGGGTATGTTCCGCGCGGTCGTGATCAAGTGCCTCGGCACTACGTCGATATGATAGGATTCGTTGAGTAGAAGTTGCATCGGATAATGAATAAAAAAAAGAAAAGAATAATTGTATCGAATTATTGATTACTCATGAACAGCGAATCCTATTACACCGACGTGGTGCCGATGCACTTGATCACGACCGCGCGGAACATACCCAACACTCTCGTGGTTCGGCCCGCGCTAACGGCGCGCTCTGATTGGCCAGTGTTTTTCGATAATAACTCGAAAACGAAGCCTTAACTAACATTTTGGCAAAGGAAAAAGTTGTTTAGAATGACCTCACCAATCATCCCTCTTCCGTTCCTACCCCAGTTCTGGGACACCCTGTATACACCGGAACCGCCTGTTTCAGCATTGCTTTACCCTGATTCGTAGGGTAGGTTGTAGCTTCTGAAAATTGGTCAGAAAAAGTAGTTAATTTTCAAACCTGTCATATAGGATAATGGTAAGAATAATACTATAATAACAAAAACATTTAGTGGGTCATACCTTAAAATTAAAGCCGCTTCATCCTAGATATATTTCTTGTTTAAACGCCATCTCCTTCCCGCGTCTTTAGTGTAGCCTGTAAAACCAATAGGAATATTGAAAGAGATGCAGAGAGGTGAATACATGTTGCATTTATTTATGTATTTAATGATTTCAAATAAATACTGTCCGTGTTTGAAAAGTTGGTAGTACGGCCGAAAATGCGTATGAGCCTAGATGGGGCACAACCAATCAAGCCTGCATTCCTTCCCACTGCCAACACTCGAAACGCTAACAGTAGGAAAATACGTATATATACATATCGATCTTACATGTTGTCGGAATGTAGCATCACAACCACGGCGTATTCTCTTCTTTCTTGTTCGTCCTATTCATTGTCGTCCATGTTGTCTCCAGGAAACGGCATTCGGAAACACTTTGAACAAACATCGTATGGACTAATATTAAATTCGGGGCTCAAATATCGACATTTATACAGACCTACCGCAGAGGATTTTATTCCAATATCAAAAATATCACCGACCTCTGTGAATTTCTGGACGCCTAAGCGGAATGTGTTTCTGTCCTCAGCAATGGAGGACAGAATACATATGGCGCCGTCGTGCAAGATGCAGCAATTATAGCGTACATCAAGACTGAAGGACATGCCATTAAAACTGTATCCTACGATACTGGAGGATATCAGTTCCGCAACGAAGAGGCACAGATACTTCAATATCAGAAGACGCAACGACCTTCACCCTATTTGCTCCATGAGCCTGAATCTCCGCCGTTCTGTTCGCGAATTGCTGAAGAGGTAGGCCCGGTTTTCTACAGTACTTCCTAAAAATGCGCATGTTGCTTTCATAGGGGAAAGCAGAGAAAGAATCTACGGGACCAAGACGTCTTACATCATTGGTCAAATGCAGAAGACCATGTACATTATAGGAACAGAAATTTGGGCCATACAACTCTTCACTACGCAGAACAAATTTTTGCAGAGCAAGCTCTGCAAAATTCAGAAACTGACTCGACGGAGATTGTGACGCTAAAATTCTAATAGCGGTGTGAAGGAAAAGGAAATGAGTATATAAATTATCATTGAGGAGCCCATATGCCACAACCGGACCTGTATACAACAGAAATTGCCTAAACTCTATTTCTTTATACTTGGCATAATACACCAGAGATCTTGGGCGTCTTCCAAACTCAGAGGGACAAAATTCTCTGAGTCTGTCCAGTCTTGCAGACATACCAGCAAGATGGGTACCTGACAATTTGGACAAACGTGAAAATTTTCCACTTATCCATGCAGATAATATTTTTTTCGTGACGCCCAAGCATACCAAATGCATATATTCAAATGGAACTTGAGAAACCATTCCAAAAGGTAGTGATGCTAAGGGACTGCAACCTTCTTTATGATGGTCCTCATCTACACATTGAGAGTATTGGTTGTCAGTTCTAAGCACATGCTTTATGCCATTGAAGACATATCTACCTTCGCTGTGCGTACCAGACACTTTGCATTTGGAACAGGGCCGGCTGGATGTATGGCCACGGTGGTTGAGGATAAAAGCTCTTGCTGGTGCATCAGCAATAAAGCATCTTAATTTTATTGGGACCTTAGTACCATCAAGATCTACACCACCGTTGGAAAGCATATGGGTTATGTTCATGATGAACATATTGAAAAGCCTATTAGGATCACTAGGCTTTTGCATTCCTCTATAAATGCCGACAACTATTGGCCTTGCATCAGGTATGTTCCTAATCATACACTGAATCGGCCACAGATGGATTGTTCCCGCTCTATCTAAAGCACATCCATCTGTGCTGAAATCTAATTCTAATTCCCTATCTGGTGAAAAAGAAGCATTCCTGATATACTTCACAATTTCAGCTTCGACATCAAAATGAATATACTCCCCGGGTTCTACAACATATGTAGGAACACGAGTCCGTGGAGTACCCAGGACAGTCCTAATATCCTTCGGGAGGTTGGTAAAGCAGGTATGGGTCCGAAAAAGGGTAAGTAAATTCTTACCCTGAACATGATTGATATTGTTGTCAACACAAAAGGAAGCCAAACTTTCCTGGAATGAAGTTTCAGGAACCGCTTCAGAACTACAGAATACTGAAGAAGACAAAGAAGAAGAAGAAGAAGAAGAAGAGGAACCAGAACTGTCATCCATATCTACACCATGGATGGCATCAATACCATCTGCGTAATCTGTGGAGAATGAAGGAACATCCGCCAGATTAACAGGGACATTGATCTCTTGAATACAAGAAGAAGAAAGAGAAGCCAACGAAGGGACAACACTATTGGACTCTACCTCATTCCTTATGTTGCGTCTCTGTCTGGTCGATGATATTTTAAATATCGGTTTCCTCGATACTGATAACTTAAAATTAAAGGAACTCATAATTAAAATTACTAATGAAATGAAATGTATGTTAGGAATATAAATGTAAATATATGTATATGAAAAAATAAATGTAAGTAAAAATAATTTGTCGTTAATCTATGAAAAAAATGAATATAATTTAAAAATGGAAAAAATGGTTAGTAAATAATAGAAAAATGGTGGTTAGTAGTTATAATAGTAAATAAAATATATAAATAATTTATATTTATTAATATGCGATTAGAATAAGACGCCTGTTGCACTGCACTCTCGTTCGTTCAGCGACACAAAGCGAATGAAACAAAACGGTTGAACGCTGTCTCTGGTATGTATCAGTTATTGCGGGAAACGCGATCATTGGATGCGCATTTTCGTCACGTTGATTTCTCCAACCAATGTAAATACCTCCCGCTCAAATTGATGGATCGTCTTTTGTTTTATAACGGAACGACCGCAGAGATGATCATTCTCTGTTCTCAGGCTCGTCAGAGACGGTACAGACTGCTAAATTCGAAAACATTTTACTGCGATTTTTTTTCCAATTTCTTTATAGGGACTACAGGAGAGAAGTGCAATTTCCAAGGATGAATTCAAATGTAAGTATGACTTTTATTCATTGCAATTACATGTATCGCGGATATGAATGTATACATATTTTAAATTTTCTTCAAATATTCTTTTATTACAGATGGAAATGGAACATCGTCCGAAGAGGATGGCCAACAAGCCGGTCCGGTATCCAACCACGTCCTCCGACGAAGAACCGCGAAAGGGTTTAAAGGTGGCCCCCGAAAGTATCGTCGAGGACATAACAGACCTGAGGGCTACCTTGGAGGGCGTGGACGATCTAAGTTCTATCTAATAATTATAGACAACACGAACACACGAACACATACACACCACTAGACACATATTCGCCATACACAAGCACATACACACTGTTCGAATTTGGCACTTCAATTCATACAAACACCTCGGTCGATAACACGGGTCGATAATCCCGTCGTCACCGAGCAAGTAAACGGAATCGCTGTTGCGCTGTCTAACCACCGATTCGAGCGCTCGCCAATTAAAACTCCCAAATTCGAACCGTTAGCATTAATGCGAAAGCAAGTGAGAGAGCGATTACCAAGCGACAACAGCGACCAAAAACGTTTCTTTACTCGAGTTTCGAGCATTCTCAAATTCAATTTAGTGCCTTGCACCGCGAATTCCTAAATCGTGTAATTCCAAATTAAACCAAAGGTGATTTTTGTAGAGTTTAATTTACGACTCATTGTGTACAAATTATCAGTAATACATAATTCGTGACCGCTAAGCTGTGTCGTTTATCTTCTCCTCGACGCCCACGTCTTTGAAAAGACGGAATCCACGCCATCCCAAAAATTCCAATTCTCGCCGAGAACAACACACACCATCAAACATAAACATATACTCGCCACACACACCACCAAACACATACAGGCCACCTCCAACAGCATATGCACCACCAACGCAAAGTTTTCATATTCCAGATGTAGTGGAGAGCAGGCCTGAACCACGGATGCAGCAAGGTACGGAACCTACAAATCTACAAATAAGGTAAGTTGCATGTTCATTCTTCTTCTATACAATATTGGGAATAAAAATATATTCCTCAATTTCTTACATGTTGAAGCACATTTTCTTACAAATATTAATGTTTACAGGGATCTATATACAAAAATTGGCAACCTGGAGTCCATGGAGACGTAAGTATTGATTGCATGTTATTAAAGTATATATAATTGTCATTTATCTTTATAGGAAAACCCATTCATTATTGGAGAAGGTGGCGAAGCAGCAGCAGCACCTGCTGCACCAGCCTCATGGAATTCCGTCAAAGCCAGCGTTTCTACCAATTTCATCGTTGGCTGGAATGACGGAATTCCAAAATATTGATGAAGACAGCTACAGGGAAGTTGTAAGTGAAACAGAAGTTTCATTTTATTTATCTGTATGTATCAAATGTTTGTGTCAGTTGTTACTTACTTTGTTTAGGTAAACTATTTGGAGTACGTGGGCGGCTTCAACCTGAAGGAAGCAGTCACTCTCTCTTTTAAAGAAACAGTGAGTGACTGCTTGCTAACATCTTATTCCTGGTTGGGCCGCGAAGATAACAATCTCGCACTTTGCGAGACAAGAATTGTTCATGCTATACACGGTAAGAATCACTGTTTATATAATTGTGATACTATTACTTCATATGGTATTCAGTATTCATATTATATGCTTACATTTGATTTTTAGATGCCGTGCTCCAGAATAAGCACTTCCCAAGGCCGTCCCGCAAGGATGTAGCGGAACACTTAAAAGCGGCGCTTCGCACTGCTAAGGAAAGAGTGCGAAGCAAAAGAAGAGGCCCCCGAAATCCTCAGCATGAAACAGTGGATAACTTTTGGACTGCTGAGGAACAATCACGTTGAAACAGGAAGAGGTTAGTTTTGTATTGTATTACATATATAATCATAACCTTCAAACACATGTACTTACGTATGTACTTGCAAGTACCTTCATGCCTTTTTTCATTTACTGCCATAAACTCACTTGTTGGATAAATAACTGTAATACAAACACATCTTTTTCAATCTTTCTCTTCCCTTTCGCTTTCTCATAGCGAGCAATCCATCTATGGCCGATTCAGTGTATGATTAGGAACATACCTCATGCAAGGCCAATAGTTGTACGTATTTATATGGGATGGCAGAGACCGTGTCAACTGTAAACTGCTCGAAACCGTGCTCCAAATCTTTTTTCTTTCTCTACGGCACACGGCAGCTCTAGCAGTGCCCTCTAGCAAGAATGTACATATGTACATAAACATTTATACATATGCATAATATTTATAATTTGCAGCAGGCTGGGGTTAAGCCTTGAAGAGGAACTGAAGAAGAACTGAAGAGGATCTGAAGAGAAACTGAAGAGGACCTGAAGATATAATTATTTTATACATTGCTTTTTATTTTTCTGAATTTATATATTATTTATATCAACATTTATATGTTGATTTGTTATGTATATTGTTGACATTGTAAATGTACATTTTTTTGTCGTGAATACTGATAAGGTTTTGGCAGTTTTCCTTATCCTTGCAACAAATGTTGGTATTCGTGAATTTATTCTGCCAAATAAAATATTTTATTTTTTATTATATATTTTGTTTACAGTTCTTTTAGTATCCGTCCCTTTCCTATGATCATGACAATTTTTCAGAAGATTATATATAAATGTACATATACTGTATACATGACAAATGTTTAATGGTATCTTTCATTTCTTTTATTGAATACAGTAAACGCATTATCAATTAATTGCAATTTATTAATTATCAATAATTTATTTTATAATTTATAATTTTCTTTTTATTTCGCTCGTAGTATTACAATTCATGTTATTGAAAAAAAATATACTGCGCTCCTATCAAATTTATATAGTTCTTATTCCTGAACACTCGTAGTTCGGAAAAAGATTTTAAATACCACTTATATGTATAGTCACTGTTCCGTTTAAAATTTAAATGGCTGAAGTTGCAGGCTCTGCTGCCAATCTGCCGCAAATCTGCCATAATCCCCGTGTTCTTCTACACAATTTTAAACGCTCTAAAGATATGAAGATCGGCATAGAGAGACGGCAACTCAACCAAAAAATTTTTTACTCTGAACGTTGTGACCTCTAGCGGACAAGGAAGGAGCTACACTAGTAATCTCTTCGAACGAGGCTCTTCATATAATTGCGATCGAACTTCACTTACAGGTAAGTTCGTTTGATCGTTCAATAATATTCACAAAGTGACGTCTCAGGCGTTGTACGTCATGGGAATAGTTTTCTGAACAAGGGTTTCCACCCAAAACTATGGTAGTGATGTATGCCGCCGCGTATACACCACAACTGTAACAATCCGGTTGCGCTTGAACTCTTTCAAAAAGTATATCCTTTTTGCGAATATGAGGAAATCGTAATGCAATATACTTTTTTTCTTCCTCTACGAGCTTATCATATGTATTGTGCACCGATGACAAGATGTCCCATGAGAAGGCCGCATTTGCATTTGTCTCATGGGACATCTTGTCATCGGTGCACTATACTGCCAGGTAAACTGTCGTATACATGGAGTTTGTGGCCGTCGAAATAGATACTTTGCCAGTGATCAGAACAGTTGCCTCCAATTATTTGCACGCTTTTGTCAGTACAGCAGGGATTGGTAAATTTTGTAAACTGTAAGTATAGGACACTTTGCGTTTCAAAAGGAGTAGTTTCTCTGACGACACGCAAAAATCGATCTAACGATTCATCGTTTAATTTACTTTGCACAGGTAGTACATTTTTCTGTACATCAGTTACGGAAGAAACAGTAGTCTCTGTTGAGGGGTGTCCTCCCATTTAATGCGGCCCTGGGCCAGCCGAGTTCGCCCGAGCCGTACCGAGCGAAGTCGTTCGGGTTACACAATACCGGCATCGATAAGCGATCTATCTGTCGATCAAGAGTAACGTTCTTCTGTCAATGACAATAAGTCGAATAAATTCAAACGCATTTAACGATAAAAGAATACTTTATTCGTCTCCTTGCAATTTCCTCTCTGTGTCCGGCCAAACAATACAGTCTGCGTTAACAGTCTCCAATATATAGTATCCTACATCATCATCTATGAAGTTTTCTTCTTGGTCTGAATGACTGACAATGACACACTCGCTAGTTACTGCTTCAACAGTAATATTTGATGCTACAACACTGTTCTGTGTCATATTTTCGTATGTACGCTTTTCTGCGATTTGTCTGCTACATTTTTGAATGGATGCGGTCTTCTTTTGCCCGTAGTATGTATTCTGGATTTCTAATAGGCATGTGTCTATTGTGGCGGCTGTCCAATATTTCCAGAAGCATGCATCCTTCATAGAAACGCGTTAGGAAAGGTTCCATATGATTTGTCCAAAATGCGTCGTCCCTATTTACGCGGATCATATGTATGCTTTTAGGTGTCCAGATAGCGAAAATACAGTACTTCCGCTGCGTTATATGCAACTGACCTTGTACTTGGTAGAAATACTGGTGCTTTCTGTTCATTTCTTGTATATCTCTCTTGTCGAAGATGTTTCGTAAGTGACGTATTGTTTCTATTGCGTTTATCGCTGTCAAATTCTCAGCAGATTGTGGGCATTTCAGTTCCAGTAAACCGTCATCGTCGATAAGTCCATCAGGAGAGGCACCCAAGTATGGAATGTCGCGATCAATGAACAATCCACAAGTTCGAATTCTTGTTTCATTGCGTTCGCTACGTCTTTTCTTCCAATGTGTTCTTTATCGCGGCCGTATTTCATAGCAGCGGTATCGACAGGTGGAGGATATAAAATGTTTTTCACCATTGCTGCGTAGGACGTTGTTAGTCTCATGAGACATACTGCTCCAAAATTCGAAGCAGTTAGCATTTCCTCCTTTAAAGCTCTCCATAAATCTGAATCGTTTTGCTCTCTTGTGTTCGTTTCTATTATTGTACGATTTCTGGCATTGTCAGCAAGCTTTTCAAAATGTTCCTTGCAAAGTTGAAGCAGTATGTCACTCGGAAGATCTGGTCTTTGCGAGTTTGGACCATAATATCTATCCGTTCCTTGCACCGGCTTAAATTTCCTTCTCTTGCCATGGGTCATTCGCAATTCTTTCGTTTTCGCAACTTTTCTCTGCCGCCGTTCCTCCAATCTCTTTACTAGTGGTGGAATGGTTTTACACATGTTCTTATGCATTTCTGTAAGTTCTTGTTGCGTATTGTATTGCGTAACAGCTCCTGCAACTCGAGCATTGTAGGACTTCTTGCACCAAAATTAATACGTTTTCCACCAATCTCTTTGCAGATAATTGAATTAAATGTTTCTGCGGGATTGTTTGTCACATTGGTTAACAAACTATCCGAATAGCAGCTGAGGAATCGTATGGCTTTCTCGACTTCGATATACAGACCGTACAATTTCAAAGATGGAACGTAATTTTTCTCAGCTCTGTTTACGTTACGCATACACGTATGGCTGCGGCTATTGTACTCCTTGTGCTCACCAAATATATGGCTAGAAATACTTAAAATGTCCATCTGAAGTTCTCTAGCTTTGATATGCTGAGGTCCTGTTTCTTGTTTTCGCGCATTGACTGCTAAAACGACAGCTCTACGAATATCTAAAATATATTTTTTAATTATATTTCGGTACGCAACAAAGCCACGATCTCTGTGACCCTTCGTTTGCGTTTTTTCAGCTACGTGTCACAACTTTTTACACAAATTACGAAGTAAGTGATTGGTACACTCAATTTTTTTAACGGTTACTTTTTGCTCTCGGTAACGTCTGTTATTTACAATATTATGATATACGATACTATCATCGTCGGCAACAACCGTTCTATATATCAAGCCATGCATTTCAATGCTGCATTTGAAACCTTCAGCAATAGCATCACTTTCCATGCTACTAGAACTGGCATAACGATCATAGTTTTTATAACATTTATGATGTTTTGGGGATGTAGCTTTTCGTTCTGCTATATCACATATTGTGCAGTATTTATTGCGTATGCCGATAAACAGAACTTTTCCTGTGCGGGAACCTACAATGGCACCAACACCGGAAAGTGAATTATAATTCGTTCCATACGATCTTTTCATCCAGCTACCATCCGCTATGACAGTTATATATGGGATACCGTCGACTACTTCATTGTTTTCAAAAGCTAATCGTCTTTCTTCTTCACCTGCTGCCTGCATGGTATGCATTGCGCTCTTCATAAACTGATCTACAAGTTTTTCACGGTACCTCCGGTACGTCGTTGCAGCCATGCAGGGCATGTTCAAGGCGGCGCATAATTCTTCTAATTGTGCATAGCCGATTCCGACTGTAACAGTCGCGGTCGTCGTGGCCTCATTTACATTCATTATATCTGAATTCATAGGTTCCGACCAAACAGTATCTTCGTAATTGCACATTTGGCACTTGAAGAAAAACTGTGTCAGACACCCGTGCTGGCGACTACCGGTCATTTTCCAATCGCGAAAATGATATTCAATACCTCGCGCATGATTGTCGAACATTCTATGTATTTCATTCCAAAAAAACTGAACGTCAACAATACGGCATGCCATCTGGCACATTTTCCGAAATACGTCCCATATCTTCGTGTCCGACGTCTACGACGAGATCGTCGTCGCTTTCGTCCAGGACGTTTTGTACTTGTACATCTTTATTTGCTAAAAGGACGTTTTTTTGTACTTGTACATCTTTATTTGCGAAAAGGACGTTTTTCGATTGTGGGATGCGCCCCGCATCATCTTTATTTTTATTTGCGAAAAGGACGTTCTTCGATTCTGAGATGCGCCCCGCATCTGTATTTTCGAAATATTTATCTTCGAAAACTGCAGCAGCTAGAATCGTCGTTGTCGACGATTCCGATTCTTTCCGTCGCCTGCAAAGAAAAACGAATGTAGGACAATTCACACAAGTTACTGAAATGTACAATAAATTGTAGCACTTACAGTTTTCTATATGCTTTTTTGAGGGAGAATCTTCTCCTTAACAGCAATCCGTGACGACTACTACCTTTTTTATTTCCCATTTGTGTTTATTTTATTCACAAATGGTTGTAAATGTTCTGAATGATTTGTCTTCTACGTTACCGCGAAGACGTCTAGTTTCAAAGAACTAGATGACACCGCGGGCCATGGCAACAAGCTACGTACGTGTGAAACAAAAACGAAATGCCAACGCTGTGGCGTTTTTCAACTTCACTTCCAGGGACAGTTCACTGAGTGCATTGAAACGGACAATACGTCTCTTTTTTTGCAATGGATTTCGGAAAGCAAAGTAAGTGTTTCTTCTCATCTTTACCTCGTGATTATCATTGACAATTACATTCCGTGAGCAGTATTATTCATGTTTTAAATTTTTTTTAGAAGTTAAAATAGAAAA